AGAAAAATACAGCATTGTCACATAAATACTTCCATATCAGATACTGAAGGCTATTTTGATTTTCTCCAATAGGAAGACCACATCTAGAATGGGAATTGCTACTAGTTATTACCAGATTAAGTCTATAACATACTATTATGATTCAAGCTCTTCACTGTTTTATACTTGCTTAACTGAAAAGCTAAATGTGGATATGAAAGGAATCTTGCATCCATCTTGCATCTTTTATATGCCAAATGTTTCTGATATCTTAATATTATTTAGCGTGGGCTAAAGTTGGATCCAGGGTTGCATGAGTCTACTTAGTAAATTATTACAGCCTCAGCCAGGCATGGCGGCTCATGCCTGTAATCCCAGCCCTTTGGGAGGCCAAGGCGGACAGATGATCTGAGGTCAGGAGTTCAGGACCAGCCTGGCCAACATGGTGAAACCCCATCTCTACTAAAACTACAAAAATTAGCCGGGCATGGTGGTGGGCATGGTGGCGGGCGCCTGTAGTCCCAGCTACTTGGGAGGCTGAGGCAGGAGAATTGCTTGAACCCCGAGGTTGTAGTGAGCCAAGATCACGTCCATTGCACCCCAGGCTGGGTGACAGAGCGAGACTCCATCTCAAAAATACAAAAACAAAACAAAACAAAAAAACACGGACACTGATGAGGCAGGAGTTCTGAAAGATCTATATCCATAGAAGAAATTCAAATGGTGGTCAAAAATGCATACCTGAGAAAGGTAGTAGACCAAGACAATTATATGAGTAAGCTCTACAATGCTTTGAAGACCATATTATCCCAATGTTTTCTTTAAACGTGTACAAGTGTGATAATTTATTAATATTTTCTATGGAGCTAGCAAAATACTGACTCCTCTCATACTGGATAGCTATATAACTGAAAAACTATAGATAAATTTCACTTACAAATACATGCCAATGTAGACAAAAGTCTGTTGGGAGACACTCTGTGTGTCTCTTGTGTTTCTGCATGTCTTACAAATAGAGGTACTAACTACTCTTTGTTCCAGACTATATTTTCTTTTCTTTCTTTCTTTTCTTTTTTTTTGAGACAAAGTCTCGCTCTTGTCCTCCATGATGGAGTGTGATAGTGCGATCTCAGTTCACTGCAACCTCCGCCTCCTGGGTTCAAGCGATTCTCCTGCCTCAGCCTCCTGAGCAGCTGGGATTACAGGCACCCACCACCTTATCTGGCTAATTTTTGTATTTTTTTTAGTAGAGATGGGGTTTCACCATGTTGGGCAGGCTGGTCTCAAACTCCTGACCTCAGGTGATCCACCCACCTCGGCCTCCCAAAGTGCTGGGATTACAGGCGTGAGCCACTGCGCCCAGCCCCAGACTATATTTTCGAAGATGTTTGTACAATCAACAACTTCGGAAGATAGTGATAGAACCTCTATCCTGAGCAGAACACAGGTTTGCTTACTGTCTAGTGTGATACAAATAATGTTTCCCTCTAGTAGCTTTGTTAACTTATCTTTATAAAAAATTCAGTCTCCCTAGGCCGGGCGCGGTGGCTCAAGCCTGTAATCCCAGCACTTTGGGAGGCCGAGACGGGCGGATCATGAGGTCAGGAGATCGAGACCATCCTGGCTAACAAGGTGAAACCCCATCTCTACTAAAAATACAAAAAATTAGCCGGGCATGGTGGCAGGCGCCTGTAGTCCCAGCTACTCGGGAGGCTGAGCCAGGAGAATGGCGTGAACCAGGGAGCTGGAGCTTGCAGTGAACTGAGATCGCGCCACTGCACTCCAGCCTGGGCCACAGAGCCAGACTCGGTCTCAAAAAAAAAAAAAAAAAAAAAAAAAAATTCAGTCTCCCTAAGCTTGGAGTTGCTGAGCTATGGCACAAGCCTGCTGTGTGTACAGCATCCATTCCAGCCCCTTCACTTCGTTCCTGTGGTACTTGTGGGGCAAGGGAATCCAGGGGAACATGATGTTTACACCGCTTGCTATGCTGTGAGTAATGAAGTCCTTTGCCTCTGACCCAGGAGTCTCGTATTTTGTTAATATGCATGACACTATAGCAGGCTAACTTGTTAGCTTGCAAGCAGGTTAAAAAATCTCTGACCCTTCATGGTTCTCAACAGTTTTAAATTATTATCAGGTTGAATTTAGTAATGTATCAAAAGATCACATATCATGGCAAAATAGAGTTGATTCTAGTTATTAAAGGATGATTCAACATCAGAAAATCTGTTAATGTAATTGACTATATAGTAAGAGAATAAGGAAACAAAGCATAAAGCATAGGCTGAAAAACTGTGTCTGAGGCATTAAGAATTTTTCTCTTTCATGGGTAAGCTTTTTTTTTGTTTGCTTATTTGTTTGTTTTGAGATGGAGTTGCCCAGGCTGGCGCGCAGTGGCACAATTTTGGCTCACTGCAACCTCTCCCTCCCAGGTTCAAGCAATTCTTCTCAAGCGATTCTCCTGCTTCAGCCTCCAAAGTAGCTGAGATTACCGGTGTGCACTCCTACGCCTGGCTAATTTTTGTATTTTTAATAGAGACGGGGTTTCACCATTGTGGCCAAGCTGGCCTCAAACTCCTGACCTCAAATGATCCACCTCCCTCACCCTCCCAAAGTACTGGGATTACAGGCGTGAGCCACTGCACCTGGCCCATGGGTGAGCTTTTTATACCCACATTGATTGTCCCAACACATAGGTTTGATCTAACTTCTGTCAGCTTACTATTTTTCTTCCTCTTTGCTGTTCTGCTGTGTTTCATGTTTACAGTTTACTATAGGGAGTGTATTTTCTTTTCTGTTTTTCTGCTTATTGATCCCAATGCAGCTCTGTCACTCAATGGTTGCAAATCCTTCTTGAACTCTAGGCATCATGTTCATCTTCTGAAAAATGAAAAGCATATATATTTGCTATCTCATGGGGATGCACCTTTGCATCCTAACAACAATTTAGGAACACTTACTAGGTTAAGCTATCTCTTGAATTCAATTTGTTCAGTGTTCAAGGGAGAAAGGACCCTTTTCCCTCTGGGCTTTTGCCTGTCCTCTGCTAACTGTTGATAATTGGTTCCTGTCAGAATAATGAACTCCTACCTCTGATTGCCTGCCGGGCTTTTGCAAGGAAAAAGGACTGCGAAAGAAATTCGGCTTGTTTTTGAGGCTCTAAACATTTCCTACTACTGGAACAACTAACCAACAACCAGCCAGCCAACCAAACAAACAAAATCCCCTAACTCCTGGCAAAACCTTGCAGAGAAAGGCTCAGGTCTGGTCAGACCAGTACCAGTGCCTGCATTTAGCTGCTTCTCTGTAAGGCTCACGCCTTCGGTCTACACTTCAGTTCAGTTTAATAAGAGGAGGGCCTGCCTTGACCTTCATTTCTGCCTGCCTCGACCCTCTTTTGGTATGGACCTGAGGCATAAGTACCTTCGCCTGCAAAGAGAGAGGGAGTGTAGCGTGAGCTCCACCCCACGGCACAGGAATTTGTACATATTCTGGCAGCAGCCCCCAGTAAATCTGCATCCTCCTTGGTCAAGGAAGGCCCTATTTCTAGTGCATTTTGGGCCTTGCCTTTTTGCTTGTCCCCTCTCCAGGACTGAGCTATAGGATGTCGTGGGCCCTTTTGTTTGCATCTGTACTAGAATTTTCCTCTCACTGTTGGGCTCACCCCAAGACAAGTCAAAAACAAGGCAAAACCCATCTCTTCCTTTCCTGGTATTGACTTTTTGGCTTGGGGAGGTACCTGGAAGGCCGGTGCTCACCCACACCCGGCAGGTTTGAAATTTCTGCTCTAAGGCACTGGGCACAATCCCCAGGACTCCACTGGAATTACAAAAGATTTGCAAAGCTCTCTGCAGGAAACTCCTTTTTCTGACATTCAAGGTGTGTTTTCTGGTCTTTCATTTGAGAGACTGCCAAAGCAGATAAAAATCTATTCCCAAAGTACCCTAAAGCAGTCTTTCATTCCACCCACAGGAAATCCCTGATAAAGAGGGCAGGGGGCTTTCTTTCCTCAACCTTCTTGGTCAGGAGAAAGCAACTCTTGAGGCCAGAATTAGCCTCTGCAAGCCTGTTTCTGGGCAAACATATCCGCACCCTCTGCAAAATGCAGCTGGAAGTAGAGCAACGAGCGCCCTGTTGAGAGCTGGGGTTGGAAAATCATTTCAAGATCCGGATTTTAAAGCTTCTTTACAAGCGACTCTTAAGTGTACATTCTTTCTTCTTTTTTTGTTTATTTAAAAAAAATCAGTCAGTTTTACATGCCGTAAAAATTCAACCAACTAATTTAAGTATGTATTCTGTTACCATTTATCCATGCTTTGGAACAGGCATCGTTGAATGGAAGAGGAATCCTATTAAAAGGGTTCAAGTTGTTCTGGAACAGGGTAGCTGATTGTCAGAGCCTGACAGGTGACACAGAGAGAACATCTTGGCCTGGCGCAGTGGCTCACGCCTGTAATCCTAGTACTTTGGGAGGCCGAGGTGGGCAAATCACCCGAGGTCAGGAGTTCAAGACCAGCCTGGCCAGCATAGTGAAACCCTGTCTCCACTAAAAATACAAAAATTAGCCAGGCATAGTGGCGCATGCCTGTAGTCCCGGTTACTTGGGAGGCTGAGACATGAGAATCGCTTGAACCTGGGAGGTGGAGGCTGCAATGAGCTGAAATCACTCCACTGCACTCCAGCCTGGGCAACAGAGTGAGATTCAGTCTCAAAAAAAGAAAAAAAAAAAAGTCAAAACATCTAGAAGACAGGATCTAGGCCCTAGCAAGTTGGAAAACAGACCACTGCACAAACTTGGGGAAACTCCATCTTCTCCAACTTAATGGGATTCCTCCAGAAGAGATTTAAGAAGGCAGGATAGGTCTAGATCAGGAGTTAGTAAACCACAGTGCTTGGACCAGATCCAGGGAATCCACTGCCTACTTTTGCACAGCCTGAGTTAATGATTTTTACATTGTCAAATGGTTGGAAGAAATCAGATGAGTACTCTTTATTGACATATAAAAATTATGTAAAATTTTGTACTCCCTTCGGCAGCACATATACTAAAATTGGAATGATACGGAGAAGTTTAGCATGGCCCCTGCGCAAGCATGACATGCAAATTCGTGAAGCAGTCCATATTTTTTATTTTTTGAGATGGAGTCTCACTCTGTTGCCCAGGCTGGAGTGCAGTGGCATGATTTTGGCTCACTTCAACCTCTGCTTCCTGGATTCAAGTGATTCTCCTGCCTCAGCCTCCCCAGTAGCTGGGATTACAGGTGTGCGCCACCATGCCTGGATAATTTTTTCGTATTTTTAGTGGAGACAGGGTTTCACCATATTGGCCAGCCTGGTTTCAAACTCCTGACCTCAAGTGATCCCTCTGTCTCGGCCTTCCAAAGTGCTATGATTACAGGTGTGAGCCACCATGCCCAGCCACATTTTTTTTTAATTAAGGAAAAGAAAATTATGGCCCAGTGCCTTGGCTTACGCCCGTAATCCCAGCACTTTGGGAGGCCGAGGTGCGCGGTTCGGCCTGTAGTCCCTTTTGAGTAGGAAGCTGAGGCAGGAGGATCGTTTGAGCCCAGGAATTTGAGGCTGCAAAGAGCCATGACAGCGTGCTGCACTCCAGTCTGGCAACAGAATGAGACCTTGTCTCTAATATATATTATATTCATATATATGTGTGTGTGTGTATACACATATATATGTATATAATATATATTATTTATAAATAAATATATAATTATTTTATTTTATTTTAGAGAATATGTCAGTGAGATGGCTGGAGCCGCCATGGTCAAGGGTTGCCTTTGCTTTTGAATTTTTTTTTTCTTTTCCCTTAGCTATTTTTTTATTTCATGAGAATGCTCTTAATTACTTTTAAAAGGAAAAACATGAAACTTTTAGAACGTTAACGCAAGGCAGCATTCAGAGACTTACTCAGTTCCCCCTTGCAGGCACCAGTGCCACCTAATTGTTTGCTCCACACAAAAGGCGGATCAGAGAAAATCGCTTCTTTATTCTTCCCTTTACATCATCTCCCCGGCACCTGGGGAGTCTGGATGCACGGAGACCGAGTACAACATGCATCTGATGATGGGTTACACCAAAGCACACCAAGACCTAAATCCTTCCCAGATTTATGAAGATTTTCTATAGCTTAACTAGATTTCTAATTGTCCTGCCACCTGTACTGAAATGTACAGTATGTGTTAATCTTGAATTCTTTTCTGTTTCCATAATCTTGGTAAAGTTTCCTGCACTCAAACAGTAAATCCAGTTTGGTCCTTGGGCTTTAAAGAGGGAGCCAAATTCACTTTTATGATTTCCAGTATGAAGGTGTCTTTGGAGGCGTTTGGGCATCTAAAAGCCCAGAACAATTTTTCTTCCCTGTGGTCCCTGTGCTGTGGCTTCCAGGCTGAAAGCCTAAGTTCACAAGAGTCTGTTGCCTCATTTGTTACATGATTTTTCTATCATTTCGGAAGAGTTTAGAAAGAAATGAGTAAGAGTTTCCACATATTCAGCACACCAGGTATTCTGTTCTCCCCACAAAATGTTCATTTATAGATGACAACTTGCTGGTTTATTTTCTGGTGGTATCGAGATTATAGGATGAAAAGGTACACTCAGTACCTGTTAATGTAACCATTTTTCTGGACATTTTTAAAGGCAGCTGTATCTGAGTCTGCCATGTGACCTTAGACTATGTCAAGTTGAAATAATAACATTGTCTACCCTGCTATCTCACAGGGCTGTTTTCAGGAATTAAATGTGATAAAATATGTAACCATCTCTGAAAAGGTGAAGCACTTTGCAAGTGAGAGTACTCAGTCCTCTTCAAAAGGAGGCTTTTTGAAGGTAGTGAAAAGGAAGCTATTGATACAGGGTATGCATCTTCAGTTGTAAGAGGATTCAGTTCTGGCGATCTAGTGTATGGCATAGCAACGGTAGTTAATAATGTATTGTATCCTTTTTTTTTTTTTTTTTGAGACGGAGTCTCGCTCTGTCGCCCGGGCTGGGGTGCAGTGGCGCGATCTCTGCTCACTGCAAGCCCTGCCTCCTGGGTTCACGCCATTCTCCTGGCTCAGCTTCCTGAGTAGCTGGGACTACAGGCGCCCGCCCACACGCCCCGCTAATTTTTTTGTATTTTTAGTAGAGACGGGGTTTCAGTGTGTTAGCCAGAATGGTCTCGATCTCCTGACCTCGTGATCCACCCGTCTCGGCCTCCCAAAGTCCTGGGATTACAGGCGTGAGCCACCGCTCCCAGCCAATAATGTATTGTATTCTGAAAATTTGCAGAGAGAGTAGGTTCAGTGTTCTCCTCACATCAGAAAAAAAAAAAAAAAAAAGGAAAAAAAAGACAAAATGACAATTTAACTAGGTAAAGTGATGGATATGTTAGTATGATTGTAGTGATCAGTTCACAGTGTATATATATATAAAAACACCACCTTGTGTGCCTTGGATATACAGCATTTTTATTTGTCAATCATACCTCAATAATGGATTTGGGTGGGGGAAGCAGGCTTCTTTTTCTGATTGTCACTTTCCTTTTTTTTTTTTTTTTTTTTTTGAGACGGAGTCTCGCTCTGTTGCCTGGGCTGGAGTGCAGTGGCCGGATCTCAGCTCACTGCAAGCTCCGCCTCCCGGGTTCACGCCATTCTCCTGCCTCAGCCTCCCGAGTAGCTGGGAGTACAGGCGCCCGCCGCCTCGCCTGGCTAGTTTTTTGTATTTTTTTTAGCAGAGACGGGGTTTCACCGTGTTAGCCAGTATGGTCTCGATCTCCTGACCTCGTGATCCGCCTGTCTCGGCCTCCCAAAGCGCTGGGATTACAGACTTGAGCCACGGCGCCCGGCCTGATTGTCATTTGTCTGTCAGCTACTCCCCTACGCCAAAAAATTAAAGGCAGTTTTTCTCTTTAGTTGGAGAACTTGAGTTTGTCTGTCGTTAGGTAAGTTGCTTCACTTGTCAGTCTCAGTTTCTTCTTCTGGAAAGTTTCATCTAAAAATATATATATTATAGGCAGGGCGCGGTGGCCCACGCCTGTAATCCCAGCACTTTGGGAGGCCAAGATGGGTGGATCTCCTGAAGTCAGGAGTTTGAGACCAGACTGGCCAACATGGTGAAACCCTGTCTCCATTAAAAATACAAAAATTAGCCAGGCGTGGCGGCGCATGCCTGTAATCCCAGCTACTCAGGAGGCTAAGGCAGGAGAATTGCTTGAACCCGGGAGGCGGAGGTTGCAGTGAGTCAAGATTGCACCATTGCACTCCAGCCTGGCAACAAGAGAGAAACTCCATCTCAAAAACAAAACAAAACAAACAATGTGTATATATATATATAATATATATATATCAATATAAATATGTGTACGTTTATAAGATGGTGCATTGGAAGAAGCTGGGAAAATAGGACACAGGCATTTCCTCTCTGTACTATTTTGGCAACTTTTTTTGTCATTTTATTTTGTTGTTTTGTTTCTAATGAGAATTACCATTCCATAGTTTTGCAACTTTCTATGAGTCTATAATTTAGAATAAGAAGTTTTTAAAATTATGTGTAAAGCACCTGACGCAATGCCCAGAAATATTTTGGAAGTTCACTCTTTTGTGCTATAAGCATTATGTAGAACTGAGTTTTATTATTATTTGATATTATTATCTAACCCCATAATGACTAATAATATTTGTTGGATGCCTACTGTGTGCCAGACACAGTTTTAAGTATTGTATTTTAAAATTCTAACAACATCCTTAGGTGGTAATTAACGATGATCATTTCTGTTTAGTAAATGGGAAAGCCAGGCATAGAGAAGTTAGGTAATTTGCCCAAGCTCACGAAGTTTAGAAGCTGGGGGAACCAGGTACGAATTCAGATGGTCTGATTCTGCAATTCTCATTCAAAGAAAAGATCATGATTTAGTCATTTGCAGAATTTTAGGCAAGATCAGACCTCTGGGTGGGAAACCTGTACCTCTGCACTCTCATTTCCTGTCTTGACTTCCACAGTGTTCCCTGTCCAGTGGCTGCAGGATTCTATTTGATGAGATTTTTGAGATTCCTAAGGACCCCCTACCGTTCTCCAATAATCTACCTCACCCAACTCTCAAGCTGGTAGAAATCCAACTGATAAGGTGCTCCTTCAACTATGACAGTGGTTCCCACATGGGGATGCAAGACTAAAGGCACAGCTTTCCTGGCCTCGAGCTGAAGACTTGAATTCAGTGACCTGGCCTGTGCCCCTGGAGCCTGTTTTTGCGTTTTGTTTTGAGACAGAGTCTCGCTCTGTCGCCCAGGCTGGAGTGCAATGGCGTGATCTCAGCTCACTGCAACCTCCACCTCCCAGGTTCAAGCAATTCTCCTGTCTCAGCCTCCTGAGTAGCTGGGATTACAGGTGCGCGCCACCACACTCGGCTAATTTTTTATATTTTTGGTAGAGATGGGGTTTCACCATGTTGGCCAGGCTGGTCTCAAACTCTTGACCTCAGACAATCCCCCCGTCGTGGCCTCCAAAAGTGCTGGGATTACAGGTGTGAGACACCGCACCCAGCCTTCCCAGAGCCTGTATTTTTAATTTGGTTTACAGATAAATTATTTTATTTTTTGTTTATATAAATATGGGATCTCACTATGTTGCCCAGACTGATCTCAAATTCCTAGGCTCAAGTGATCCTCCCACCTCAGGCTCCCAAAGTGCTAGGATTACAGGTGTGAGCCCCCACACCCAGCCAGATAAATTCTTCTTCTTTTTTTTTTTTTTTTTGAGACGGAGTCTCGCTGTGTCACCCAGGGTGGAGTGCAGTGGCTGGATCTCAGCTCACTGCAAGCTCCGCCTCCCGGGTTTACGCCATTCTCCTTCCTCAGCCTCCCGAGTAGCCGGGACTACAGGCGCCCGCCACCGCGCCCGGCTAGTTTTTTGTATTTTTTAGTAGAGACGGGGTTTCACCGTGTTAGCCAGGATGGTCTCAAACTCCTGACCTTGTGATCCGCCCGTCTCGGCCTCCCAAAGTGCTGGGATTACAGGCTTGAGCCACCGCGCCTGGCCCCAGCCAGATAAATTCTTATCTTTAGTCAGATTTGGGAAATCATGATTTAAGATTATGATTTGCAAAGATACCTGCTACAAAGCCATTTGGGGGCGTTG